ATCTTCTGTTCTTCTAGCCGCTCCAGGTTGGTCTGCTTGTCCTTTCAAGTGGGAATTTCCCATCTCTGGAGATCTGGATGTGGCTGAACCAATTTTTGAAGCAGATGAGAAACCTAGTCTCAATTTATGGTTATATCATGGTATATTGGGAATAGGGATGCACTGGTGTCAGTCAGAACTGGCTCTGCCATTTCTAAGCTGTGCAACCCTGAGCCAATCACCTAGCCTCTCTGAGTTTCCATTTACTAAATTTAGATTTGAGTACTCATTTTTTTTCTTCACAGTTGTTGTTGTTGTTATGTGCCGTGGAGTCGGTTCCGACTCATAGAGACCCTGCACAGGGTTTCCGAGGCTGTAAATCTTTACGGGAGCAGAACGCCTCATCTTTCTCCCGCGGAACATCTGGTAGTTTCGAACTGCTGACCTTGTGGTTCACAGCCCAATTCGTAACCACTACGCTACCAGAGCTCCTTTTTCTTCACAGTTTTGGTATCTATAACCTATGAAGTATAATCTATGGGCATAAAAGTACCGATCTTTGAGAATTACTATATTAAAGATATAACTCATGTAAAAGATCTAGCATAGTGCTTAGTCCACTGTGAATAATGAATATTCCTCCCCCTTTCTTCTCTTTCCTCCTCAAATGACTTTCCACCCAACGGTAGCTGATACTCCCTCAATTAAATCAAATAAATCAGCATGAAATTCTTGTTGTTACCAGCAGGAATTTTATGCCAAATAAATTCTCATATGGAACCCCAAAACTAAAATAAATGAAGGCGTACTTTTATCAGTATAAATGGAATGCAAAGTTCACATTTTAAAAATTTGCTTATTGTAAACTGTCCACTGAGAACAACAGGCTGTCTGGGTGATCTTAGCTTTTTTTTTTTCCTGTTCTTTCCAAAAAACAGACTTTACTTCATAGAATAATTTGAGGTTTGTTTAAAAAAATCATGCAGAAAGCACAGTGAGTTCCCATATGTCCTCTTGCCTTGTGTTTTATGTCGCCTATTAGTATCTTACATTCCTGTGATACATTTGTTGATGAGCCAATATTGGTTTATTATTATTAACTAAAGCCCACAGTTTGCATCATGGTTCACTTTTTGTGTTGTACCATACTATGGATTTTGACAAGTGCATAATATCTTATACCCACCATCACGGTATCATACAGAAGCGCTTCACCGCCTTAAAAATGCCCTGTGCTCCCTCATTGGTCTCTCCCTTTCCCCTGACTCCCTGGTAACCACTGATCTTTTTATTATCTATAGTTGAATGAAATAGCATATTGGAACTGGGTTTTCTTACTTGTTGTTGTTGTTGTGAAGTGCTGGTGAGTTGGTTCCAACCTATAGTGACCTTGTACAGGGTTTCCGAGGAGCAGCTGGTGAGCTTGAACTGCCAACCTTACAGTTCAGGTGGCTTTGCAGTATGGCGCTTTAACCCACAGCACCACACCAGGGAGCTGCAGTCTTGGATTACTACTGTCCTTATTCATAAAAATTGAATAAAGCATTTGTGGATCCTTCCAAGAGTCTTCTGAGGACACCCTATGGCATAGGTTGTACCCCCACCAGATGGCACTGCCTGCAGCTGACTCTGCTGGGATGGAGCAGCTACAATACCTAGAGGAATGTGCTCCTGATCCTGCTGGTACCTGCGAGCCTATCAGTTCAAGCCCAGTGGCCGAGCTGGAAGGAACTTTAGGGCTATATGTTGTTACTAAGTGCCGTGAAGTTGTTAAGTGTTTCTGAGGAGCAGCTGGTGGGTTTGAACTATTGTTGGTTAGCAATCTAGTGCTTATCCTACAGTGCCACACCAGGACTCTTCAGGGCTATTTTGTGCTAAGGTTTTGAAGAATTTTTTTTCTGACGTAGTAGAATCCTGCCTTCCAAGGAGACCCTGAACAGAACTCCAGAGAAAGCAGAGGGGTTCCACTGGTTAAGTTTGGTACAGGGCAGGTGATAGGCTGACAGCCCTAAGAGGTTGTCCCTTGCAGCTCCAGTTTTTATAACCACCTCCCTGCTGGAGTCTTGGTGTGGCGCTGTGGGCTAATGCAGTCAGACTGCAAAGTTGTTAGGACTGCAACGTCAGTGGTTCAAGCTCATCAGCTGCTCTTTGGAAACCCTATACAGGGTCGCTATGGATCAGAATCGACTTGACGGCCCTTAACAACAACAACATGCTACAGTGGAGGAAATGGGTCCAGGTATCTGGGTCCTCTTGGCCAAGGTGACCAAATGGGTCTGAGCATAACTCATTGGATTAGCAGAGACCAGCACCCAAAGGAAATGGGATGCAGGATGGGTTATATACTGACTGACTGGGGAGAGGCCAGAGCAAGGAATCGGAGACATGGTTAGAGAATTGAGGACAAGTGTGAGCTGGGTGGAGTGGGAAGGAAAGGGAACATTTCCAAACAGAGTAACCCAAAAGACAGCGTCTGCCTAGTTCAAATACTGCTTGGAACATGCTTATACTAAAAATTTCTTGTTGTCTATCTGAATTTCAGATTTAGCTGAGCATTTTATCTGGCAACTTCCCTCCAGCCTATCTTTCTCCCACCCTCCTAATTCATGCCCCTCATAGAGGGGCTCACAAGAAGAGCCTACTATAGGGCTGGCTGAGTCCTTTCAGCATTCTGACCTGGCTGTGGACTGGGCAGACTGTCAAGGGGCAGGGGTGGGCAGCAGTCTTTAGTAGCTAATTACTTTGACCTTCGATTCCACATTCAGCTCTGAGAGCCCATAGGCTGAAGAGATGACCAGACATCCTCCCCCAGGGAATTCTGGGAGGCTAGTGCCACTAGTCAGGGGTTCTATCCCACTGGGAAAAAGCCTTCCAGCCACTCCCCCGTCCTTCTCGCAGCAGCACATGACTCTGGGACCAGCTCCTTTCCTTCTGTGGAGAAAGGATCTGAATGCTCAGGGGGAGAGTGAGGTATCAGGCAGCTGTTGCTAAGGCAACTCTTTATTCTTTTCAGAGTTTTTCTAAAAACTTGAGTTCATTTGGGGAGCCCCTTGAGGGTAGAGACTTGTCTTATTCATTACCCTTCCATCATTTAGCACAGTACCAGGCACAACATAGATGCTCTAAACTACAGGACAAAGTTTTGGTTTTAGGATTACTCTCTAAAGAAGAATTGCTGTTATAATCCCCATTCTACAGATGGAGATAATTGAGGTGGAGAGGGCTGTTTATGCCTAAGATCAAAGCGGAAGAAGTGCTAATCACTCCAGTTGTCCTCTTCTAGGGGTACTCTGGGTTCAGAGGCCTTTATGGCACTGGGCTCTCTAAGCCTCAGTTTCTCCATGTGAAAGATGAGACTAAGTGATATTACTTGTAGAAAAGTTGCCTTGTTGAAGAATGGCACTGTTGGAGATGGAAGGAGCCGAGGGACCCAGTACCTGTAAATGCTCTTTGCTGACTAATCCCATCAATGCACAGCCACCAAAGAAGGTGGGGCTCTTCTCTCACAAAGGGGCTGGGCTATCTCACCTGACTTAGCTTCTGGTCCTGTGCACATTGACAGGTAGACCAGCATCTCTTTGTTGGGAGGTTCTGCTCATATCCTCCATTTGAGTGAAGATAAGACCTTCTGTTGGTCTCAGTTCCCCTGACCCCAGAGCAGGTGCCAAGCTCCACCTCCCTCTCCAGTGTTAGAGACCACAGAATATTATTTAGAGCTAGGAGCTATGGAGCCCACAAATTTAGGGACACCAGGGTCCCCTGAAGGCAGGGCTTTGACAATGGGAAGATTAGATAATAAACTTTGATTTTGCTACCAACCTGCTGTGTGACTTAGAAAAGTGCATCCCCTTCTCTGACCTCTGAGGCCAGTCACCTCAGCATTGGGGAAACTGGACAAGATGGCTCCTGAGGCTTCTCCCAGCGCACCCATGCATGTTCTGTTTGCTCAGCTGTTTGGTCTCTTTTGAGGCTGTTGTTCAGCTCTGACTCTAACCCCCAAAAGCTGGAGGATCAGCTGATCTACCCGTCAACCAATGGAATAGCCAAGCCTAGAAGACCAGAGTTCAAGCTCCTTCTGCTGATAGGATACTGTGAGGCACTGGACTAGTTCTTCCCGTCCCTGAGCCTCTCGTCATTATCATCTCTCTACAATGGGACTAACAGCAACCTTAAAGGCTATTGTGCTGCAAGGGGCTACAGGAGACCAGGGTTGGGCTAGCACTTTTCCCGTAGTCTGGCAGAGCAAGCTCCTGTTTTGGGGTGGGCTGGGCCAGGGGTGGAGGGTGGAGGAACACACAGTCTAAAGGATGTGCATCAACAACTCTGGCAGGGAAAGAAAAACCTGAACAAGATGTAGGCATCTAGGGACAGTTTTCCATGGACCAAATATAGTTAAACATTTAGGACATTTTTTTCCATTCATATTTTTGTCTTTGAATAAGAGCAGCTACTTATCCAAGTCCCCCAAGCAGGCTGGGGACGAGAAGCTGCCTGTGATTTGTTCTGGATGTTAGAGGATCTGGAATGTGTCCAGGCCCCGCTTGGCTGCCAGTGGCCCTCACTGAGAAGTGTTGGACTGCAGATTCAGCCAGGGTTGGGGGGTGCGCTTCTTATGGTGGAATGCTGCTGGGAATGCAGAGGGGGCCCCAAGTTCTATCCAGAAGGATCCTCTTCAAGGGCGCTTGGGGCAGGGAAAAGTGAAAGCCCATTGCACACACATACATGGCCCAAAGCATAAGGGCAGGGTGGGGAGTAGGGAGAATGATCACTGAGATGGCAGGAAGGGCCTCTCTCTGTGCCTGGCCTCTGCTGCTTTCTCATGTGTGAGGTCGTGAGAACTTATTAAAAGAGAGAAAGAGAGCGCGTTTTTGTGTGCGTGTGTGCATATAAAAACTGCAAGAATCCAAATAAGGTCAGTTTCCTGGGTTTGACCATTGCACAATGGTTATTTAAGATGTTATCATTGGGGGAAGCTGGTGGCAAGGTACACAGGGACTCCGTGTATTATTTTGCGACTTGATGGAGTCTAAAAATTATTCTTAAAGAAAAAAAAATTATCTGGACATGTGAATCTGCTCTGTGAGCTGTGGAATACCACAGCCCCCATTACTGTTTTCCAGGCACTTATGGGGGTCCTACAAGGAGCTCTAAAGGCGTTCTGGTAGCATAGTGGTTATGAATTAGGCTGTGAACCACAAGGTCAGCAGTTCGAAACTACCAGCTGTTCCGCAGGAGAAAGATGAGGCTTTCTGCTCCTTTAAAGATATACAACCTCAGAAACCCTGTGCAGAGTTGCTGTGAGTCGGAAACGACTCCACGGCACTTAACAACAACAACAATATAAGGAGCTCTGGTGGCGTAGTGGTTACGAATCAGGCTGCGAACCGCAAGGTCAGTAGTTCGAAACTACCAGCTGTTCGCGGGAGACATATGAGGCTTTCTGCTCCTGTAAAGATTTACAGCCTCGGAAACCTTGTACAGAGTCACTATGAGTCGGAACCGACTCCACGGCACATAACCACCACCACCATGAGGGTCCTATAAAAAAGGTCTTCTCCAGTCCACATGCAGGGTGGGCCTTTAGCATGGTGCCTGGTACAGAGTAAAGGCCTGAAAATGTGAGTCAGTGATATCCCATAATTCTCATTTTTAAAGGAGAAAACAATATCTGGGAGATGTAGTGACTTGGCCAAGTCGTACAGCTAGAAAGTGACTGAAGTTGGGTTTGATCCTATGTCTCCAAAGGGAAAACTTTTAACAAAAGCATGTTCCTTTGCTGTTAAATTGATGGTGAATATTCTTGGAACTTCTAAATGGGATTCGACCCCCTCTACTCTATCTGGTCCACTTGATTTTTCCTTGTCTCTGCTCTACTGGGGGCCCGAGGGCTGTCCTTGTCGGCTTCCTGTGATCCAGGTACTGTGGTTACAGGGGAAGGGTGGAGGGCTGGCAGTACAGCTCCTGAGGCTTCCGTCTCTTAGCCACTCCGTGCATCACATGCTCCATCCTGCCAGCTTCGTGGTGTAGGCCCAGTACACAGTCTCAGCCCCCATGACGTGCTCTGTGAGTGACCTCTTCTCCTATGGGCTCTGACATGTGGAACAGCATCTCCTTGGTGCAGGTTCTGCTCACTGCATCCTCCATGTGAATGAAAGATGAGGACCCTCCATCAGTCCCAGCTCAGCCAGCCCAGAGTAGATTCTGAGGATCCCCACCCCAAGGCCCTTCAGAGTCTAGCACAGAGGGAAGCTGGGACTCAAATCGAGTCCCCCATCAAGGCAGTCTGCCTTGCCTCTGACCCAGCTGACTATCTGTGTTTCAGAGGACACCTACAGCTCTGAAGAGACCGTGGACCACCAGCCTGTCCTCCTGAGGGTCATGGACACGGCAGACCCGGTAACGTCACTGCATTACCCATGGAGTGCTGAGAATCGGCACAGCCACCGTACAGGCCTCAGGGGCCTGACGCTCCCAGTTTGCTATGTGACCCTGACCTCTCAGAGCCTGAATCATTTCATTTGCCAAATGAGGAGGGATGGGATGTGGGCTGGGGAGGTCTCATGACTGCTGGTATCCTGCTCCGAGGCTCTGTGTTTGTGCATCCTGGAAACAGGTGCACTGGAGGGTGTACACAGATACTCCTGGTCAACGCCCCTCAGCCAAAGTCCCCTATCCCTCCCACACACATTCTCTCTGTGTTCCCGTCACCCCCTGCCTAGGCTGAATGCCAGTTATTCTGAGAAGAACCCGAAGGGAGAGCACGAACTTGACCCCAAACCAGCAGTGCCCAGGGATAGCCAGGTCTCCATAGGAGCCACGCCAGAGTCTTTGGCTCTGTGTCCCACAGGCCAAAGTCTCCAAGTCTCTGGCTGGGTAGTGGGAGGGAGGTTCATGAGACAATGTTTCCTTTCAGGCCAAGCCAAGTCCACACTCAAATGCCCCTTTGAAAAGCGCTCCGCTGGGGAACAATATACAAAGACCCTGGAATGGGGAGGTGGAATGGAGTGGCTCAGGTGAGGCCTTTACCTCGACCTTCTCTGCCCCTGATTGCGTCTTCCCTCTTCTGCCCCAGGACACCCCCAGGAACTGTGAACGCTACCTGAACTGGGCCCATGCCTTCCTGGTAGTGTATAGTGTTGACAGCCGCCAGAGCTTTGAGGGCAGCAGTAGCTACCTGGAGCTGCTCGCGCTACATGCAAAGGAGACCCAGCGTGGTTACCCTGCTGTGCTGCTGGCCAACAAGCTGGACATGGCCCAGTACAGGTGAGCACAGGCACTCACCCCATGTCTTTGGAACTGACTTTCTAGTGAAGAGAGGTGCAGTCTTCAGGGGTTATTTGGTAGTTAAGAACCCTTGTAGGTGCTGTTGAGTCAATTCCAAGAGCATGTGTGCAGAGTCAGACGGCTCCATGGGGAAGCCAGCTGCCAGGCCTGCCTTCAGAGGTACCTCCCAGTGGGCTCAGGCTGCCAACCTTTGGCTAGCAGTTAAGCACTGAACTGTTTGAACCATCCAGGGACTCCAGTAAGAGCAATTGTTGTTGTTGCTGTTAAGTGCCATCAAGTCAGTTCTGACCCATAGCGACTTTGTGTAGGGTTTCCAAGGAGCAACTGGTGAGCTTGAACTGCTGACCTTGCAGTTCAAACCGACTTTGCAGTCCAGCGCATTAACCCACAGTGCCACACCAGGACTCTTAGACATAACACTGGCAGTGATGAGCAATAATCCACTCTAATTCAGGTAAAAAGGGACTGTGATAGATGAATGCCATGGGTTTTGTCTTCAGGCAGGGCAGTGACAGGAAGGGAAGGGCATTTGGACCACATAGGAACCTGAAAGTCAGAAGAGAAGGCACTTCTATCCCCAGGGGATCCTGTGGTCTTTCTTGGCATTACCCTTTCTTTTCAGGACCTATGTGACCTTCCATTCCCACTTCTTGATGCTGATTCAGGCGTCAGTGCCCAATTCCAATGCTAGAGAGAGACACTCTGATTGGCTCCTTTGGGTCAAGTGTCTGCTGTGGTCCATTTAGCTCTCACCTCACCCAAGTATGGTCCCAGGCTTGCCCATAGTTGGCTATGCTGAAGGCAGATTCTCGTATTCTGGTAAAGAGTTGGGTTTGAATCAGAGGTCATAGATTGGGCCAGAGGGCACATTACCATGGAATGCTGTAGCTGTATTTTACTTGGCTGGTACCGTGTTTTAAGAAAACATGGAATTGGAATGTTTTTGAGGTGGGGCATGCTCCTTTCATCTGACCACAGGCCCTACCACTGCCAGTGGTTTGCTTCCACCCTCTCTACACATCTAAGTTGTCTGCCTGCCTGCCCTGAGGCATTTGAAATTGATACCTACCCTTGAAGAGTAATCCCACTGGACTTCAATATTCCTCCTATGTGACCAATCCACCTAGGAGGTGTAAGGCAAGACCCATATTGTGGCAGGGAAGAGATGGAACTGGAAAGCCCCCTTTCCCCTGGTCACAGGCGGAGCCTAGATGGGAAACCCTCTCTGATCACAGTGCTGCCGCACACTAGTGGGAGGCCCATTGACTAGTTTTAGCAAGAAGAGAACCCTTTGCTTCAAGCTGGTCAAATGGATAATGGGCAGACGGTTGGGTGGTCTCATAAAGTCCTCAGACCCAGACAAAATATATCTCAAGGAATGAAGAACATTCTGACAGTGATCTTAAAAGCCACTGAAGGTGGTCTTTGAGGAATTACAGAGCCTGGGAGAGGGGTGAAAAGATCCATTTTGGTGTAGGTGAAAACTACAGACCATTAATTCTAACTACAATCTTTGCTGAAGCGATTATCTAATAATGATTTGAGAGCAAATAATAAAGAATATAGGGCTCATCAGTTCACTAAGAATAAGCCATGACAGTTTTATCTCCGTTCTTTGATCGAGTTTAAAGGTTAGTAGATTTGGAGTTGGTGGACCCAGTAAATCTAACTTTTAATCTAACAATGGCCAGTGTATCCCATGATTGTTTTGTAGATGGTGGTTCCCAAACCACTGATAACATCTTCACGAGGCTGCAACCAATGAAAAAAAATAAAAGGAGCCCTGGCAATGCCATGGATTAAACATTGGGCTACTAACTGCAAGATTGTCAGTTCAAACCCATCAGCAACTCCATGAGAGAAAGATGAGGCATTCTGTTTCAGAAACGATTTCATCCTTGAAAACCCTATGGGGCAATTCTACTCTGTTCTATAGAGTCGCTATGAGTCAGAATCCACGCAATGCAGTGGGGAGGAGCAAAATAAGAGAAGAAAAAGGATGATGTTGTAGATTTATGTCACTAATTCATGCACACGCATGTGCACACACATGGGAGACCTTGTTTCTGAAAACCCATTAATCAAGCTCCCACAATGACTTGATTAGACTCAGGTTCATCATAAAAGCAAATAATACCAAGTAATTCTGCTCCTTGGAACCCTATACAGGGTCACTATAGGTTGAAACTGACTCAACGACACTTAATAGTGACAACAGTTCTTTCAGGGAGATTCCTCAGGACATGAAAGGGAAGTGGAGTAGATGCTCCGCCCCTGACCCTCTTTGTTCCTCTGATACTCATCCCACCTTCCACCATGGGGCAGCTAGCCCACTAATGGCCCCCTACTCCTGATACATTAACCTTGGCTGAGAAATCTCTTCCTACCGGTACCCTACCCTAGCATCTCCTCCCATTTCATGGCTGTGCCATTGTCCTTATGAATTGTGGTTGAAGGAGCTCAGCAGTGGGTGGCCATGGGCCCCTGTCTTTTTCCTCCCACCTAGATTCCCATGGTTTTCAAGTAGGAAGCTTCCAGAACATTCTCAGTTACAAGTATCCTATTCCACCATCATAGGAGTTGGTATAGAACTAAGTTGGGAATAGGAGCTATTCCATCTCTCCTATCTCCCCCCTGCCCCCATCCATGAACTGTTGTCACTGTTCTCGTCTACCCAACATCAGGGAAGGCAGACAAAACTCACAAGACTCAAGAACCAAAGGTCTCCTGAGTCATCATGGCCCACCATGCCTCTGTAGACTCTGTGGTCTAACACCCTTCAAACAGCTGCCTTTCTGTAGAGCTGATCCCACAAGCCAGGGCTGTGGGTGGCCCATTTCTTGCCAAGGGACCCATGTTGTGGCGAGAAGAAATGGGACTGGAAGTGGCCTGCTTTCTCTGGCCACAGGCAGGGCCTAGCATGGGAGGCTTTGGGCCAGTTCTTCCCTCTCGCCTAGCTGCATTCCTAAATTTTGGCTCTGGGAACATAGTTGTTATTAAGTGCCGTCGAGTCGGTTCTGACGTGTAGCAATCCTGTATAGGGTTTCTGAGGAGCAGCTGGTAGGTTTGAACCACTGTCGTCTTGGTTATCTTACAGCACCACACCGGGAGCACTGACTATGCCAGGTACTGTGCTGAGTACTAGACACAAAGTGTCTTTCTTAATCCTCACAACAACCCTACGAGTCAGATGTCATGATCCCATTCTACTGACAAGAAAACTGAAACTCCAAGACATTAATTTGACCCCAGGTTGTCCAACTAGAGGTTGGAGAGCTGGTATAGGCCCGGTCTGCCTGATTTGGAAGAACGTTCTCCTAACTTCTCTGCCCCACCTTGTTTTCCTTACCAGGCAGGTGTCCAAAGCAGAGGGTGCGGCTTTGGCAGGCAGGTTCGGGTGCCTGTTTTTCGAGGTCTCTGCTTGCCTGGACTTTGAGCATGTGCAGCATGTCTTCCATGAGGCGGTGCGGGAGGCACGGCGGGAACTGGAGAAGAGCCCCCTGGCCCGACCCCTCTTCATCTCTGAGGAGAGGGCCTTGCCCCACCAGGCCCCACTCACCGCCCGGCATGGGTTGGCCAGCTGCACCTTCAACACACTCTCCACTGTCAGCCTGAAAGAGATGCCCACTGTGGCCCAGGCCAAGCTGGTCACCGTGAAGTCATCCCGGGCTCAGAGCAAGCGTAAGGCACCCACCCTGACCCTACTGAAGGGCTTCAAGATCTTCTGAGTCTCCCCTCTCAGCATCCCAGACTTGGTGGCCGAGCAGGGCTCAGGACAGAAGCTGGCTTCTCATCACCAGCCTTTCCCTCTGGTGAACAGCTGATCCCTCCTGCAGCTCCAGGCTGTGTCCCTGACACTCAGTCACAGTGCCAGCTGAAGGGACAGGCAGGATGTTGTTCCTAATGCCTTCAGGTCCTGGTCTCCATGGAAATCCTGAAGGGAAGAAGCCACTATGACGCCCAGAAATTTCAGTGTCGCCTGGTGTCACCACACCCTCTCTGCTCTAGACACAGCTGGGCCAGGAATGGACAGCTCTTGATGGCACTGTATGTGAACTGCAAGGTTGGTGGTTCAAACTCACCAGCCACTCCTTGGAAATCCTACGCAGTCACTATGAGTTGGAAGCAACTTGATGGCACTTAACAACAAAAACAAAAGCCTAAGGAGCCCTGGTGGCGTAGTAGGTTACTTGTTGGGCTGCTAACTGCAAAGTCAGCTGTTCAAACCCACCACCTGCCACAGTTTTGGATTTTCAGTCTCCAAAAAATAAATGAGTGGATTTAAGGTCAGCCTACAGGAGAGACAGCCCTGAGGTCCTAGCACCACCTGATGGAGAGGAAGGGGAAAGCGGGTGCTGCTTTTAGAGGCGGGAGCCTGACCTTCTGGATGTCTTCTGACCTCCCAGAAACCCTAGGCAAGGCTTGCAGCCAAGCCGACCCCACAGATTTTCAAGTGAAAGCTAGTTAAAATAATCCTATGGTCAGCCTTGAAGAAGTCCCAGGAAGGGATATTTCCAGCGCTTTGCTGCTCCTCAACAAGAGTAGAAGGAAGGGCTATGGGTTGTCTGGAGTATGGCGGCTCTGAGGTTTCTTTCTCTCACAGGCAAGGCTCTCCTGTTTGTCCACCATTAAGAACTTTATCCGCAGACCCTCAGGACCAGCCTCCTCAGCTTTAATGACCAAAACCGCAGAGCAGAGTCATTCTGTCCAGTGACAATCACCCAGGATTCCAGGGCGCCCACAATTGGTAGTATCAAATGCCACCCACCAATCACTCTTCGCATGCTCAGGGCTCTGGGAAAAACAGAGTGTAAACAGATTATACTTGTTTGTAGTCCACTCTAAAAGAGCCCTCAACTGCTAACAGGCTAACAGGCGAGCAGTTTGAACCCACCAGCTGTTCTGGGGAAGAAAGATGAGACTGCCTTTTTTTCATAAAGATTACAGTCTTAGAAACCCTATGGTGCAGTTCTACCTTATTCTATAGGGTCACTTGGGTTTATTTGGGTTTTTGGTAGTCTCATTTGGCAGGATCCAGAATAGGTCTGAGTGTTCAAAGGCCATATTTGAAAGATAGAACCTAAAGCATTTATGGTTCACAAAACAAATTTCTGCCAAAGCTGTGTTGCCATCACAACTGTGTACCAAAACACAGTGGTTCATACACGGAATTGGACATTCTGTTGGACACTGATGTGACTTGGGATCCTACGGTTTAAAAAAAGTCTCAGGAAAGTGCCTCACAGTCAAAAAGTTCCATACGTGTTCTGTTCTTATTTTTGCTTTCAAACTTTTGTTTACCACAGGGCTTCTGGCCCAGAGGAGGTCTTTCTTGGACACAGCATAGAAGCAGGTAAAAGAGGGCTGTGCTGGTTGGAAGGATGAGAGTGGGATTCTGAATCCAAAATCATGCTCCTTCCTCTCTCCGCTACCCCAAGATCATGGATGGAAAAGCCCAGCCCTCATCCAGCCTCTAGCTCCATTTGACGGAGAAGCAGAGGTCAGAGGGAGGCTGAGAATCTTGGCCAAGCTTTCTGAGACCCAGGCCTGCTATGGATTTGCACTTTTGCTCCAAGCTTTTTTGTGTGCGAGAACCACGGCTATTTGAACAAGCTATGCAATCCTAGCTGCCCACTTCTGAAAGCATTTTTAATAAAGTTTTCTTTTAACAACAATTTTTTAGTTTAATTGTAGTTTAATCATTTTGTTGGCTAACTGAAAAATAAGATAAAATAAAAATTAAGCTGCTTGGAAGAGGCTGCAAAACCTGAGAAATCTAAAGTCAGTGAATCTGAGTAGGGCCTTGGCTGGATGGGGGCCAAGGCAGGGTGAGGGATTAGCTTTCAGATTCTGTTGGGTCTGGAAAAAGAACTGAAGGGACATCGTTCTCTTTTAATTCAATTTCCACTTGGGCCAAGTTTGGGTTTTCTGAGAGCAGAGTTTCTCTTTGGGTGTTCACTGTGTTGTCATCTTTGTTGCTGGCCTCGGTCAAATACAGGACGGCTGGAGTTTGTTTTTCTGGTGGCAGCATCTTCTGATTTCTAGGAAGAGAGGAGACACTTTTGAACATGTGTTTCCTGAGTTGGGATACTGAATGATTAGGGAAGAACTGGGGAGTCCCTAATGAGTTAAGAGAGTTTGCCGGGAAAATCCTCCATGTGGCTTTGAGAGCTACTGGGAAGAAGCTGAGATTATCTGATGCTCCTTCCGCAGAGAGAGAGCTCACACTTGCATGTCATTGTCTCACCAACTTTTCACCACCTGTGAGCTCAACTATTCTCACCATCCCCCTCCTCTTACAGTTGATGAGATGTGGCATCTAAGCCTGGGACATGCACTTAGGTCTCCTGACTCTGAATCATGTGTTCTTTCTACCAAAGCACACTTGTCTCAGATCCCAAGACTGTCACCCTACTTAGTGCAGGTCCTGGCCACCCACTCCCCTAACAAATAACTGCAGGAATTTCCTAATGAGTCCCCCTGCTTCCTTCTCCAAACCAGTTCACATACCCAAGACATGATGTGAGCACGTATCACTCCCCAGCTCAAGCACCTTCAGTGGCTCCCTACTACCCATTTTTAAGCCCTTGCATGATTTTTTGTTTTGTTCATTACTACATTTCAGTCTTACTTCATTGACTCTCCCAAATCTACCCTCCTTCCAAGTTGGTTTTACTCAAGGTACCACTAGACTTACAATTTCATGGAGAAATAAAGTCAGATGTGATTTCTTCCCTCAAGGAACTCTCAAGTTAGTCCCAGTTACATATTAGAATTGTCCTGCCTCAGATCCATTAGGTCAAAACCAGTCAAGATGAGGTCCAGTATTCTGTATTTTTAATATTCTTCATTGACTGATTTCTTTGTGCATCCAGGGTTAAGGAGCTTTGTAGTAAGGTTCCTCAGCTGATCTCAAGTCTCTGTCGGACCCTGCATTTGGGCTTGGAGAAGGGACCAGCTTCCCCCTTGAACTGCATTCTTTACTCTGCAGTAACTACCATTTACTTAGCACTCACCACAGTCCCAGGGGGAAGGAACTCTTTATCACTGCCATTTATAGAAGAAACAGTGGTTCGGACATGGCGAGTGACAGAACTGGGATTTGAACCAGGTCTGTGTGACTGCAGAGCCAGAGATCTTAACCTCTGAGGCACACCAGCCTCAGCCCTATCTGCTGGCCAGGTACAGGGTGGAGAGGAGTGGATGTGCTAGTCAGGAACAGTTGCTGGTTTTTTCAATAACTTTCCTGAAATGGCCCTAAAGGTTGCATATTGCAGAACCAGAGGATGGACAGGCAAAGCCTCTAGGTGACCCCTGCCTGGGCAGAGTCTGCCCCCACATCAGTGTTTGCCTCGATACTCCTTCCCAGGAAGAGGATACCTGTTTGCCTGGATACTCCTTCCCAGGAGGACGGCGCTTATGACAACCACTACGGAAGCCAGGACGAGCATGGCGTAATTCCAAGGAGATGCTGGACGAGAGGGGCACAGAAGACAGAGTTAAGGAAGAGGTCAGGTGGCCTGCAGGTGCACTGAGGGTTGGGGTTTAGTCTTAATCTGAGCTCACAGTCTTAACTGCCCCTTGCTGTAGACAGGGTGTTGTGGGGGTGAGCCTCTGCTCTGGGGAACCATCACTGGGCAAAGGGGGGTGGCCAGATAGCAAAATCTGTCCTGGAGAAGCCCAACTCTAATGGGGAAGATGGCACTGCAGTTGCGTTGTTGTTGATGTTAAGTGCTGTCGAGTTGGTTCCGACTCATAGTGACCCTGTATAATAAGGTTTCCAAAGTGCAGCTGGTGAGTTGAAACTGCCAACCTTGTGGTTCAGACACAGTGGAGAAGAAAACTGTACAGGAAAAGAAGTTGGTCAAGACTAACCACACTCTTCAATACTGCTGGCTGACCTTGTGTCATTGGAAAGGAAAGAAGAAAAGAAGGTTGGCAACAGAGAATACATAAAACAGTTCATCTGAATGTGGTTGGTCAAGATTTGTCCACACTGTACTTCCATCCAACCTCAGAGTGTTTGCGTTTGTTGTTCCCTCTGCCTGGAATGTTCTTTTCCTCATACATACTTCATAGCTAACTCGTTTGCTTCTTGCAAGCCTTCCTTCAAATGTCACTTTCTTATCCAGACCTTACTCAACCAACTCACCCAGTGCCTCCACCTGTGCCATACACTTCCCAGAATTCTCTTGCTTAAGTTTTATTACACATCACGAATACACTTCGCGTTTTAATTATTTAATTGTTTATTTTCTGTCTCCTCCACTATAATGCATGCTCCACCAGGATAGATTTTTGTATTTTATTCATTACTGTAACTAACCCCAGTGCCAAGGACAGAGCCTAGTGCACAGTAAGAGCTGAATAAATATTTGTTGAATGATTGAATGGATGAGCAAATGAGTGATTATACTGGCAGGAGGAGGGTGCCATTTGGCCCCACATCCTGTTACACTCCCCCTTACCCCACAATGTGCCAGACTCAGAGGGGTCCTGGGATGCTCAACCTCAGTCCCTGCCATGGAAGAATGTATAATCTGTCAGGGGCTTCAGTCAAATTCTGCTCTTTGTGTTGAAAAGCACAACCCCCCCCACCCCAAATCTCCTGCCACTTACCATCTTCTACCCGAAAAGCCCAAAGCATTTCTTCCAGCAACTCCTGAGGCACAGGAGTGCCAGCTAGGGCTCCGGCAGCCCCCTCACTGTGGCTCATGCTGCTTCTGGTTGGGCTGTATTTCTGGCAACAGACTATTCAGAACTTCTTGGCCCCCTGGGTGCCCTTTTGGTCCTGAAGATCTCTGGAAACAAAGCAGAATGTGATTGGCTATCCCGCCCTAGTTTGATCTCCTCTCCCTGTTCAGGGAGTTCCTGGATGGCACAAAAGTGTAGGGCTCTATGTGAAAGGTTAGAAGAGGTACCTTGCAAGAAAGTCCTGGTGGTCTGCTTTTGGAAAGTCACAGCCTTGAAAACCCTATGGAGCAGTTCTACTCTGCACACATGGAGTGTCCATGAGTTAGAATTGACTAGACAACAACTCTGCCCAAAACTATTATCTTAGGCTGGGTCCTCTAGAGAAGCAAAACCAGTGACATTTATATATGCATATATACAAAGAAGTTTATAGCAAGGAAATGGCTCACCGTTGTAGAGTCCCAGGTCCCCAGTGGAAAAGAGGCAAGCTTTTCCTGCATGGCCATTATTTTGCGAGCAGCCTACACCCCCAAGGAAACATCCTTTCAATTAATTGGCTGCTCATAGCCAATCATCATAGAATTAACTATGTCTGTATCAGGTTTCATCACCATGGTGATAACCACATCTCAACTACCACTGGGAATCCTGGCCCAGTCAAGGTGACACAAAACCTTAACTCACACCAACCAATCCAACAATAGCCCAAACTGAGGAGACTCAGGGTAGTAGAGAGGAGAGACCATAGGATAGAAATGACTCAAAGGTTTATTAAAACTCCTAATGGAAGGCGGCTTGATCCGAAAAGGAGAACAGAGGACACCTCTACCTTTCTTGCCTGCCCAAAATATCACCACTCCGCTTCTGCAACCCCCAGCACATCTTCGTTGAGGTTCCTTTGCAAAATGTTCTACTCCATACCCATGGTTCTCCTGGGGTAGCCAATTACAAAATCCTATCTTTCCCATGTGACACAAATAGGTCTCCTTCTTGGGAATTGGCACACCAGTAACTGAGCTGAGATTAAGGAACCTCTGGTGCTATAGGATAAGCACCGACTGTTAACTGCAAAGTCGACAGTTCAAACACACTAGTAGATCCTTGGAAACCCTATTCAGGGTTGCTATGAGTCAGAAGTGATTTAGCAACAACAACATGGTTGCTGAAACCTGTGATACTAAGGGCCTGATTGGTCAGTGAGGCCCTCAATTCTGCAATCCTCTGGTAACTTCATCTTTTGGATAAATTGCCAGAGTGGGTTTCAGTTGCTTGCAACCAAGGAACCTGAGCCTGAACCCTTGCTCCATGGATAAATTCCTCCTTTAATTCTAGCTTGTTTCTATTCCTATGAAATAAAGCAGATTAAGCTATCTGCGTTTGCTAGACTGCAGTCAAAACAAAATATTTGACATATTCTTGTACCACCTTATTATTAATATTTTTTTCTTCTGATTAAGTCACTCTTTTAATTAAAATAGATTTTTTAGAGGGAAAACTTTATACAAAGGGAACTTCAAAATGTTCATGGAAAAATTCCATTATCTTTTAATTCCATTTTTTCCATGAACTTTTGAAGTACCTTTGTATCATTAAAAATAAATTCCAGTTGCCAAAAGGAGTTATTCAAGGTACAATTGGTCTCTATTTGACTGGAGCAACAGAGCTCGAAGGAGAGTCAGGAATATGAGGAAGATCTGGGATGTACAACTAATCGCCTCCATGAACATGAGACCAGAAGAAATGGATAGTGCCTGGCTGCTATTACTAAACATCTGGATGAAAGATTCTATAGAAGAATCCTGATCAAAAGGGAGAAAATGCAGAACAAAATTTCCAATTTTCATGGAATCTAGGTTTTCTTATGTCATTGAGACTGAATGAAACCCCAAAAGTATTGTCCTCAGATAATTTTAAAGTCTTAAATCAAAAATATCCCTTGAACAAAAGAAAAGAGGGAAAAGACACAAATAACATGCATAAGAAGCCACAAGGGTGGTGTCACAACAGAACCAATAGAAATAAAAAGGATAATAACAGAATATTATGAAAAGCTGTACTCCAACAAATTTGAAAATCTAGAGGAGATGGATACATTTTTAGAAAAGCACAACCTACCTAAACTTACACAGAATAAAGCAAAAAACTTGAACAGACTTGCAACAAAAGAAATTGATCAGGTCATCAAAAACTCCCAACCAAAAAAAGTCTGGGTCCAGATGGCTTCACTGGTAAGTTTTACCAAACATTCAGGGGAGAGCTGTCACCAATTCTACTCAAATTATTCCAGAATATAGAAAAAGGTGGAAAACTTCCTAATACATTTTATGAAGCAAGCATAATCCTCATACCAAAACAGGGAAGGACATCACTAAGATGAAAATTATAGACCAATATCCCTCATGAACATAGATGTAAAAATTCTCAACAAAATCCTAGCCAACAGAATTCAGCAACACATCAAAAAGATAATACATCATGATCAGGTGGGATTCATACCAGAGATGCAAGGATTGTTCAATATTAGAAGAACAACCAATGTAATCCACCATATAAATTTTTTTTTAAAGGAAAAGAACCTTTTTTAAAAAGGAAAAGAACCAATTGATCATATCAATTGATGTATAAAAGGCATTTGACAAGATCCAACATCCATTCCTGATTAAAAAAAAAAAAAAAACACCAAAGAACTGAAGGGAAATCCCTCAACATAATTAAGAGCATATATACTAAACCAACAACCAACATCACTCTCAATGGAGAGAAACTGAAAGCCTTCCCTTTGTGAACAGGAACCAGACACGGATGCCCTTGATCACCACTCCTACTCAATATTGTGTTGGAAGTCTTAGCCAGAGCTATAAGGCAAGATAAGGAAATTAAAGGCATGCAAATTGACAAAGAGAAAGTAAAACTCTCTCTATTTGGAGATGATATAATCCTATGCATAGAAAACCCTAAAGACTCAGCAAAAAAGCTACTAGAACTCATTTGAAGATTCAGCAAAGTGGCAGGGTGCAAGATCAACATAGAAAAATCAGTCAGATTCCTCTATACTAATAACAGACAGCGCTGAAAAGGAAATTAGGAAAGCAATATCATTTACAATAGCTGCCCAAAGGATGAACTATTTAGGAATAATTCTAACCAGAAAAACAAAGGACCTATACAAAGAAAACTACAAAACACTACTACAACTGGTGGGAATGCAAAATGGTCCAACCACTCTGGAAAATAGTATGGCGCTTCTTCAGAAAGGTGGAAATAGAAATACCTTATGATCCAGCAATTCCTTTACTTGATATATATCCACAAGAAATATGAGCCAGAACATGAGTAGATATGTGCCCACCACTGTTTATTGCAGCACTATTCACAATAGCAAAAAGTGGAGACAGCCTAAGTGCCTACAAGGGAAAGAATGGATAAACAAACTTTGGTACATAAACATGATGGGATATTATGCTACCGTGAAGAGTAACAAGGAAGCCAAAAGCCACTGCATAACATGGATGAACCTTGAGGATATTATGCTGATGAAATTGTTGTTGTTAGGTGCCATCGAGTCAGTACCAACTCATAGCGACCCTATGCACAACAGAATGAAACACTGCCCAGTCCTGGGCCAACCTCACATTGAGCCCATTGATGCTGCCACTTTGCCAATCCATCTCACCAGAGATCTTCCTCTTTTTCTCTGACCCTCCACCTTACCAAACATGATATCCTTCTCCAGCAACTGATCCCTCCTGACAATATGTCCAATGTATGAGAGATGAAGTTTGGCCATCCTGGCCTCCAAGGAGCACTCTGGCTGCACTTCCAACACAGATCTGTTGGTTCTTTTGGCAGCCATGGCACTTTCAATATTCTCCTCCAACACCATAACTCAAAATTCCTCTACGGTCTTCCTTATTCATTGTCCAGCTTTCACATGCATATGCGGTTATTGAAAATACCATGGCTTGGGTCAGACGCACCTTAGTCTTCAAGCTGACATCTTTGCTCTTCAACACTTGAAAAAGGTCTTGTGCAGCAGATTTGCCTAATACAATACATTGTTTGATTTCTTGACTGCTGCAATTAGTCAGTTGCAAAGGACAAATATTGCATAAGACCATTATTATAATAACTTAAGAAAAGATACCCATATCAAAAGGGAAAAAAAAATCATTATTGTTGCCAGAGGTGGGAGGGAGGGGATGGTAGAGCACAGGGTTGTAGTAGCTCAAAATAGACACATCATAGTTTGGGTGTTGGGGAGGGCAATATACAAGAAAGGGGAGGGGGTGGAAGAACAAGGTAGATAGAGTAACACTTAGGCAGGTTTGTATGGGATAAATGGGACAGAGGTAAATAGTGATGTATGCTCAACCTTGGAACAACAGGGATCTGTGATAACAGGGATCGAGGCATAGTGTCTGAGTGAGTAATAGAGGAGAAATAATGCTAAGATGCTTGAGTGTCTTACGAATATTGGTTTCCCTTGCCTACTATTGTAAAATAGATACTTGAAAGGGATATTAAGGAATATTGGGAAACATGATTACAGAAAGCTTGTAAGCCCATCTTCAGCCTATAACTCATTGGAATACCTAAAAGGGGTTCTAAAACTTGCCCAGTGAAATAGGCTTCTTGTGAAGCCTTTATAGTGTATAGGACCTTAGGTAGAATCCTGAGTCCCATCCAAAACCTTCTGAGGTTTTGAATAACCTTGAAAGGACAAGCAGACCAGCCTGGAGCAGCTAGAGGAACAGAAGATACTTCTTGAAAGAAAGACCAGCAGAAAACATTAAAAAACAAAAATGGCAGTCTGATTGGCTACTACAAGAACAAGCAAGTTGTTTGCCGGTGGGGAGAGGGGTGGGCATCAAGCATCAAGGCAAGCTATCAAGTTCCTTTAGGACCCGCCCCCCAAAGACTGAAACTCAAAGGGAACACACAAGCAGGCATGTAAGCTTCTTGGCAACCACGTTGGTTTACTGGTGAGTGGAAGAGGGGGAAAGGCAGCAATGAAGATATGAG